AGCCTACAGTTTGTAGAGCTAGGATCCTATGATCTACTACTTTGAATGACATGAAATAGAAGGCTATAGAAGCTTCTCTTATTTATGTAATCAATCATGACATTTGGACAAAAAGGAAAATGACCAGGTTACCTTCTCTTCTCGGCCCTCGTGGACACTGAGCAAAGGGGACTGAGCCCATCTTAAATGAAACTTGGGGATGTGGAAGTTCATGTTCTGATGGTGATCTAGCCTCTGTCAATGGAACCAGGTCACTTCACCTCTTACTGTTTTAGCCTTCCCAGCTGTAAAATGGCCCTAACATCACTAGCCCACCCAGAAGGTAGCAAAGGAGCCAGACAGATGTTCTTGATTTTCGGTTTCCAGTAGAGTCCTCCAGATTGCCTCTGACCACCAGCCCGTTGCCTTTAGTACAACTGTCAAGTTTGCTTCTGCAACACTCAAGAAAACGCCTTAACTTGGTAATATTCTGAATATTCTCCAAATAACTGCACGCAACAAAGAGCAAGACAGACACGGAAAGTAAATACAGAAATACTGAGATCACAAGGAGGAAAAGGGATAAAAATACAAATGTGGGAAGCACTTTTTGGTTTGGGAACAAAAGACACAGTGGCAAAGGATGGAGCCCATGAATAAAACGTGTAAGCATACAGTAAAGCCACTGAAAGTAAAAAACAGGAAGCCGCCAGGAATCTGTTAAAAAGGAAGTGTCTTTGGCAGCAAAAGGTAGGAAGGTCTAAACTAATTAAAAACAGGTCGGCGAACGACAGGCAACATCACGTGTGCACTGGGATGGAGGGGAGTCATACAAGCTTGACGCATACATGCAATGTATTAAGTTGGGAGTGTGTGTTTCTCCAGCTCTCCAGCTTCATATCTATTAAAGGAACAAACAATTTACATGCTACTACATTATGGGAGTATGGTATGTCATATCATACATAGGGAGTGTCAACGCTTTCTCTTCACATCAAACCATGTTAAGTCAAATCAGAGATAGGGGTTGGGGGTGGGAGGGGTCAGGAAGGGAGGAGAAAAGCAGGGAGAAAGAAAAGTTTTAAAAAAATCTCTGCCTCAGCAAAAGTTTTCATTAAAATTTTAGACAAATGATCCCTGTGTCCTTCTCCCTTGCTGCCTGGGGCTCCATGCTATTTCTATGCAAATAACAACCTCGTGGTTTATATCTTATTATTTCCACAGGAGCTGCAGCGACATGACCTGAGACGTGTAAGAGGTGTGTGGGGGGGGAGGTTGAGGGTAGGTAGGGAGGGAGAGAGAGAGAGAGAGAAGGGAAAAGGGAGAGAGAGAGATGGAGTGGGTGTTCACTCAAGTGTGAAAAAATATTGTCAGGAGTGAGCGTCAAGAACAAAAAAAAATTGCAGGGATAACGTGTTTATTTCAGTCCCCTCACAACCCCCCTAACCCCCCACCCCCCCTCCTAGCAAACCGGCACCTTTTAAAATTCATTGGGCATCAGGCGATCATGCACAATCCATCTGCTTTCACTTTATCATTTGCATTTCATGCCTCCTGGCTTTTGATGTGCTGATACTTTGATGCAGTCAGGAGACGCGCATTATCATTATTTCAATTTTCAAAGAGGTCAACGGGATCGGCACTTGCACACACAGATTTTTTTTTTCCCTACAACCTCTGCGCACCCCCTCCCTTCTTAGTCTTCACCCCAATGTTTAACATAAAGGATGAAGACTCAAAAAGGTGGGGGTCAAATGTTTTCAGTCGAAAAGCTTGCACATACTGCCTACATTTCCACTTTACACAGGTATACACACACATGACAAACAAAATGGTCAAGGGAGGCTCTGCAGTGTTTTAGACACACACTCACACAAAGACTTTCTCACACACGGATACTCAGGGAAGCACGCGGACAGAGAAAGAGATGGATCTAGAAGCAAGATACAGACACACAAAGAGAAAGAGACCGGCACTCAAACAGGAAGAGTCATGCACTCAAGTCACCTGCACACACCCAGAGTAGGCGAGACAGAGAGATTCCTACAGGAAGAAAGATAAACAGATGTGGAAAGACACCAGTACACACAAAACAGAACCTGCACAAGGTGTCAGGGGAAGCAATCTGAGCATGTAGCTCCCATACAGTTTCCTTTCTCACACCTGATAGGCAAAGGGGCAGATAGGACGTTCTTAATGAATTTGCATGAAATCTGTGTCTTTCAGCAGCATGAGGCTATAGTTAGGAGGCACTGACATGAAGACAGTGAAGCAGGAGGCGCAGGATGGGGTAACCTCTATAACTGATCACTCCCTTCAGCTACAAATGACCACGTCCTCTGGACAGGAGCTTTGTTTGGTAAGCCACAGCTGCAGCTTTACTTGTCTTGTCCCCAGCAACTAGACTTCTTCTTTAATGAGCAGCCCTGTAGGCTAGCAAGGTGGTGAAGATAATGAATTTGATTGGAACAACTGAACCAGATATTAAGGAAAAAATCCCTAAAAGTTTCTTAATGGCACAAATGAAATTCAATTAGCAAGTTTTCAGGCAAAAACCAAAACAGCCGCAACAATACCCCAACAACAAAACAACAAAACCTTTGCTTTTTTTTAATATTCTTTGTAGATAACATAACATCAGGGAGCAAATAAACTCAGTGTAACAAGATACATTTCAGAAATCAGCTCTTTGTTTAGGTATGGGAACATTATGGAAATACAGGTATCTTCTTTAAATTCTATTCTCACAGATAATGATACCACAACTCTCTTCAACATTCATCATTATTTTATCCTAAGAAGGGATCCAAAAGAGCAACTTAAAAAACATTTAAAGGGCCGGCCGAGTGGCGCGATGGTTAAGAACTGGCTTGGGACGCCAGAGGGCCCCAGTTCGGATCCCACATATGAGGGCCAGTGACACTGCC